GAAAGCTTTTACTGTTTGGTTTGTAAAAAAAGAAACAGCAGAACTGAGCAGAGTGGCTGACAAGTGACACATATATAGTACATGCTAATGTACAGAGAGAAACAACCTTGAGAGTTTAAACCAGCTGTATCAGAAAAAAAAATATCTTTATCCAGATATGCGGTCCCTCATGAATTATACTATTATTTTAGTTGATTTTACCTGACATCACCCTATGATTTTTTTCAGTGACAAGAAAATTGCAGCTGGCCCTTGACAGTCGGTCACAAATTGACTGAACAAAACAAAATCAAACAGTGAAGTAATCCCCAAGTAAATTTAATGAAACCGAAATCCCGAAGGGCAGCACACTTCTGTAGGCAATGGTCTTATTTAATAAATTTTTCCCCGCTTTCACTTTTAGAGCTATATTTACACAGACAAATTTAATTCACTGGGTTTACATTTCCTCTTCCCCTTAGTTTGTCCACCAGGCACATATGGGAAGGACTGTAACCAGGTATGTCAGTGTTCAGCTGAGAATGAGGAGTGTCACCCAGTCACAGGGAGATGTACCTGTCTGCCTGGCTACCATGGAAACCACTGTCATCTCCGTAAGTGTGGGCTCTGCTTAGTTGTAATTTACTGAGGGGACACCAATAGGGTGGGTCACCACTCAGAATATGAAAAGGCAAAAGTTAATTCATCCCAAATCCCGTGGGATCTCTTCCTTGAAGTTGAAAGCCTATATTTTCTTGTGCAAATCATTCCTTTATTTGCCTTTTCTATTCAAAATATACCCTWGTTCTTCACAAATATCCAAGAAGAAAAGAATGAGATAAAGAAAAGAAAGTATGAACTTATTATTATAAATCAACATGTGGTAAATGACAATGTAGTTAAAGTGATTCATATAGTAAGTTAGTTCCAGGGCCTGCTTAGGAACAATCAAATCAAATTCTTATTCTAGAATGTAAATGATAACTCACTTAGATGACAAAATGCCAGTTGGCTCCCTGTTGTGTAATAAAAAAGAATAGTCCCTAGACCAAGACTTTAATATTGACTTGTTAGGACATTTTAACATTGAAAATGGTTGCTGAAAAATGTAGAAGAAAAAAAAAATATCCCAAGGAGCATGTAAAAATGTTCAGGCAGCTACTTAATTTTTAAGCTTGTAATTATTTATAATGTACTTTTTATTGGTTTAAGAATAGAATGATTTGGCCTCAGTTTCATTCCTCCACACACACACACACTTGGCTCTGACTACTCTCTTTCTTTCCTAGTCCTTCCCATAGCAGATTCCTCTGCTCTCCTTTCCTAATTCTACAAGAATCCAACTGATTTGGGGATTTATTTCCCCCCAAATATCACTTAAACATAAACTCATGATCAAGCTATTTAATTTTYTACAAGCCATAGAATATATATATTTTGAATGTCACTTCTTGATTTTTCCTAACTTTAAACATTACCAGCTAAAAACACAATTAAACACCCACGAAAATGGTTTCAATTAATATCTTGTTGGAGGCCCAGAACTATTGCAGTTATTCAAACTTAACCTGAAGAACTTAAATATAAAATTAATCAATCTCTATGAGTTTTCTATTATGGGAAATTTCAAACACCCTTCTACTAGAGAAAAGGAAGATGCCTATCTTGAGAAATTTTCCTTCATGATATCCAGGATATCATCTTTCTCTTCATAAAAATAAGATCAGTTTGCATACACCCAGGTTATGCTTTCATTCAGAAGGGGAGCTAGCCCAGGATAAAGGAGGGTGGCTTCACCTTGCGACAGGAGGCTGGCTGGGTCAGGGAGCCGCTCCCCTGCCTGGTGGAATTGGCTGAGTTCCAAGCAACACGTGGTGAGTGTGGCTGCGAGGGTTCCTTGGCAACATCCACTATAATTACAGGACTATGAAAAAAGATTCAAGAAAATATCCATAAAAGGTGTAGCTGGCTCCCAAGCAAAAGTTGCCGCAGCCAAGAACAACTGGGCTTTCATGTTCTCAGGTTCAGAGTAGAGAATTAAAATTTTCTCTCGGCAGAGGTCAGAGGAAGCAGGCAAACTTGCAATAAGAATCTCACCACTTCTTAATTCACATAGGCAGGTCAGTCCCAGCATGTGGATAACAGGTAGGAAAAACACAATAACTGTCCAGTAGAGGCAAACTCACCCTATTATGTTTCTTATGACCCATGAGAGGTCTTAAAGTAGCACAGACCCTGAAAACCTTTTATTTCTGCAACTTGCTATACATGCTGTTTATATCTACTCTTCCCAAGAAAAGTTAAGGAGTCCCCTATAACCATAGTCAGTTCTTTTGAAAGTATTCAGAACAGCCTCACACTTGGTATAGAATGCTCTGAGAAATATGGGCCACAAAATAGCCTACCAGGGCCAAGAGTAAGAAATCAAGTCATTCATGGATGCTTGGCTGTAATGTTGTTGTTCATAGCAATAAATATTCAGCAATATCACATGTTAGTATCTCTTTTTAGTAATAAAGCAATACTGTATAACAATGGCTAATGTGAATTACCTGGTCAAATACTAGAAAAACAGGCTGTGTAAAGCTGATTCTTGCTGTTCACTTACTTGGGAGCTATGTCTCAGGATTTGGTAATAGTCTTGTTTGTTCTAGGTTTCTAACGAAACTACCAAATGCCATTCATAGCAACAGAGCATACAGTAGCATCGATACTTGCCATTTATGCTAAGCAACTTAATCTTTAATATTTAAACAAATTAGAACTGTAAATGTGAATCCAAGCTCCTTCTTGGAATGAAGAAGTGAGAGAAGGGGATTGTGCAAGGATGGGGGAAAAAATCACTTTGCAATGGAAAATAACTAAATACCCTTTGCCAGGGAGACAAGATTTCCAGGGAGAAATAATTGTAAAAGATCAAGCAAAGGCCAAGTAATGATCAAAATGGAACATTAGGAGATGAGGGAGGAGAGCTGACTTTTACTCAGAAAAGCCAAATTAAATCATTATGTCCTGGGTGTGTTTCCTTGTTAAATACAGTGAACATTTGAGCAAGACCTGTGTGCATGATTCCAGAAATTCAACTTTCACATAATAGAGAATTGAATGAGAAAGTAGAATTATCAATAAAATAATTATTCTTGAAAAAAGTTTAGACTGCTTTTATAAATATGTACCATGGTATTGATATAAATTTAATGAGTTGGGGGACTAAGAGGTTAGCACATACACTATCTTTGAAAGATGGCATTCTCATCAGTAGGCTAATTTCATCAAATCCAGTGTCCCAGTTTTAAAAGGATAATTAAGTCGAAGTCCAGAAATGAGGTGGTTTTTTTTTTTTGTATGAAAAAGGAATACTTAGGGATGATGCAATCAAATGTAAAGCCACCATTAAGATAGTGTGCAGTTGGGTATATGCCAAAGGGAAATTATGTTTCCCAAGGAACTTCAACTTACGTGAAAATTATCTTCAAATTGAGACCATCACATGTATCAGTTGTTTGAATTCATCAAATATTTATATATAAGCCCTTCATTCCTTTCAACTGAGATACTGACTCTTTGTTACTCAGAATTATATCCTCAGTTCAACATTTCCTCAAATAAGAGCATCACTTTCATTTCATAAAGATTGCTCTTTTCTTTACTTGCACAGAAATTCATGCCATCTTTCACTTCACAGTAATGTGACTCCAGAGTTTTCCATACTAATCAACAGTTGTTAATTCAGCCTCTTTTTTTAGAAGCAACATGTCAGCAAGATACACCACAACTCGTGGCTTCCATCTCTGAATTTTCAGCTTGTGTGTGTGTTTTTTTTTTCCTAAAACCAAGTCACTGAATATTATTTTTCAGCATCATACATTTGTTTGACTATGTTAGTAACTTGATAAAAACTATAAACATTCACAGTACTAACCCAGCTAGATGGGCCAGAAGAATTTTTTGTCTTAGTGAATGGAAGAAGAGAAGAAGACACATTTTTAAATCATTAATTTTATAGTGAGTATTACACTCTATTAAGTTTTTATAAGGGCTGGTGATAAAGAACTACTTGGGAATACTAAAGGATGCTCTACACCAAAAAAAAAAAAACCAAAAAACAAAAAACAAAAAAAAAAAAACAGTCAGTTAGCTTTGAGAAATGATATCCCTTGGAAAGAGAGAATGGCAGGAGAGAATGCAAAGTGAATCCATCATTTTTCACAGAAGAGGAATAAAGAAACACAACAGCTATACAGCTATGCCAGAGAAACAAACCTTGATCTGAACAATGTTGGGTTATTGGGCTTCCCATTTCCATTGTAGAGAATTTATTTTTTTTAAACTAGAAGGAGAAGAGAAGGAAAACCGAGTCACTCTTTGAATCTATAAGCAAAATTTAAGACTCCAGGTAAGAACTATGAGTTTGTAGACAAGACATGGGTGGAGATTATAAAAATGTGAATCTCAAAAGACATGGGTGGAGATTATAAAAATGTGAATCTCAAAAGAAAAGAAAAACATTCTTTGAATGCTTAATTTTCTCTTATATAGGTATCCTGCTGGTAGAGCATACATCTATGGATATGAAAATAGACAATTGAAAACAACAGAAAATTAAAAGCATCCTTTACTTGGTATCTTAGGAATTCCTCCATTTATTAAAGAAGTCTAGATCATTCCAGACAAGACAAACTATAACATTTAAACATTAAGCAAAATAATAAATTTTTCTAGGTTGGAATGAAATACTCTTGTTTAGGAAAAATCTTCCATTCTAAGCTTTCTTTAGAGGTTGATTTCCAAGGTAGCTCAAGTTAAGTCAAATGTTTTCTTAAGCAGCAACAGGTACTGATATCCATCTATCTCTATGTATTCTCATATCCTCACATCCTTGAACCAGTAGCTTGAAATGACTGAAAATACCAAAGAACAATAATTGGAATGCTGAGTTAACCACGTGTCTATGGGTATAAGTTTGAACACTGACTGTTTTAAGTTATACCACCACATATGGTTTTGGATTTCTTTAACAGGGTGCCCAAAAGGCACTTATGGCCCATATTGCCAAATGACATGCAAGTGCTTAAATGGCGGCAGCTGTGATACCATGATTGGCACCTGTAACTGCCCTCCTGGCTTCATCGGAGCAGACTGCAGCCAAAGTAAGTTACTCTTACCTATTATGGAATGGATATACTGATGGTTCCATGCTGGATACAGGTACCAAATATGCTAAAGCTGAGGTTTTTAAGGACTGCAGTTAGAAGAGTAAATGTTGTAATTCGCTTAATAATTTACTGCAGCAACAGCAAACACAAGCTTTCTTAAATTCATGGTTGAGGAATACTCACGAAAGACTTTGGTTGAGAGCTAAAGTTGGTGAAAGTGACAAAAGAGATCCTTTCGGTCATAATCCCTCCCACCCCAGCCATGCTGGCCCCAAGTCAAGATTAGAAAATCTGTTTGCCAAGAACAGAGCAAACTGGCGGTTCCTGCATTCACAATGTCAACCTCATTGTCTAAGTCCCACCATTTCATTTATCCTTAGCAATTTGCTAGCTCCAAAGTAAGCAAAAAGTAAACACCAAAAAGTAAATAGCACCACAAAACCCGAAGACCTTAGCTGCATATTACAAAAACTATTGACAAAAAGTTTAAGGGACAGAAAGGTGAAGAACGTTTAAAAAGGTACAGGTTTGAACACACAGAGCAAATACATTTTATTGTTATCAGATCTTTCATTTTCTAAATATTTGGGTAGTTTTTTGCTTAACCCAAATAACTCTGGATGTACTTATCCCCTGTGACTCTGAGTCAGAAGGAGACCCTAGTGTTTGAAGTCAGTATCATGATGATCTTTTTCTGGAACATAGAGGAGGCAACAAGAAGGAGCCCACATAATGGGGGCAGTCCTGGCCTTATCGATTTGGGTGCCTGGAGCTTTTGATGAGGATGTTCATTTTGTGATCATTCATTGAGCTGCACATTATGTTTGGGGGCTGTGTTCTGTTATCACATACCTCACAGTGAAAGGGCAAAAGTACCATTGGAAACTATCTTCAAAATAGAAAAGCTGCTTTATCATGCATGCACACCTCAACTTATGTGATTGGATTGTGAAGCTCCTTTATTCATGATCCTGTTTGGAAGCTGAGTTTGTGCATGGACCGAGGACTAAGTTGTTCTGTGCTGAAGATACCCAAAATGTTTGTATTTCCCTGGCAGGTAGCTGTTCTGTCTGCTTTGTATAAAGGTAACTTCTCTGTTTAATTTTTCTTTCTGCTGTGCTGAGGACAAAAAAAAAAAAAAAAACAAATAAGAAAAAGTCTTGAATCCAGGTAGGGGACAATGGACACTTAATGGATACAGCCTCTGAGGTCTCTACTGCCAGCTCAGTTTTGAGTCAAAGCCATAAACATTTCCCAAGGAAGGTCCTGGCTGACTCCTTTGTGTTTGTTCTTCAGAGAATCAATGGACAAATATGCTCATGCCAAAGCATTTTCAAAAACTGTGGTTTCCCTGAACATTAGGAACACATTGTCTTTAGAAAGCTGTGATCTCCTACATCAGCACTTCCGTTTGCCTTAACTATGAAGACTAGAGCCAAATTTTCAACCCACTTCTCATGCAAGGTCAAGGATGGATGATATTGTTTTTTGTTTATGTTGCTGCCATTTTTCCCCCTCCCTGGATTTTCACAGATAGTCATTTTTGCTTATGTATTAACTGCATTTTGGTAAGCATTGTACTGAATTTTGGAATAAATCAAAATAAATAGTTAATTAGATTAATAGGTACAAATACATCAATCAGTATTTGAGAATGTAAACATGATGGGTCCTATACTGATGTTTAGGATTGTAAACTAAGATTCCATAATGGACTTTAGGAATAAACATAGTCAAGATTATTATAAATATAATATATATGCAATGCAAAAACATATACATATACACACACCCTAAGCCAGTGCCATGTGGCAAAGTGAGACCCGATCCATGCTGTGAAGAGTTGGTGTTCCTTATTTATTATTTTGTTTTGTTTATTTTATTTTTTGCAGCATTGAGGATTGAACCCAGAGCCCTATACATGCTAGACAAATGCTTTACCACTAAACTACATCCCTAGCCTGGTATCCAAATTTTTAAAAGACATATGTAAATTTTTGACAATACATATTTGGTTATCTGTTTCTAATTTCAACTAAAATAGCTCTAAAGTAAGTGACATTTGAAGAGTTCCTCCTTCTGTTTTTTTTCAAAGTAAACTTTTAGACTACAAACCAAACTAAAAACTAGACAATAGATTCCATTTGATTAAGAGAAACGGCATTGTATTTAAACATTTTTTAAAATCTCAACTGGCAAAATGTTTATAAGAAAAGTGTGGTTTCGTTTTGTCCGACTTTGTCTTACTTTTTCCTGCAGCTTGTCCTGAAGATCACTATGGTCAGGATTGTGTCCAAAGGTGTTCCTGTGGTGCAGGACAGTGTGACCCGGTGACTGGAGGGTGCCAGTGTCCCCCTGGACAAATGGGAGTCAGGTGTCAGCAAGGTAACAATGACTGCAGAGTTACCTTGTCCATCCAAGCACTAAGCCAAACCATTAAAGCAGATTTGGTGCCAAGGAATATAATTACATGGGCATTGTTTACAACACTTTCTTCTCTAAATGCTGCTTTAATGACATGAAAGTACACATACCTGTAGCACTATTTAGGAAACAGTCCAAAATAAGGTTTAAAAAATAGAAAACAGAAACAAAGAATAATTTATGAATTTTCTTGACTGGGAGGGAATGTTTAAGTAACTGTGGCTAATTTTGTAAAATTGCTAAAAATTTTATGTTGGAGATATCAAATAATGGGAATTGAAGAAGTGCATATCCTCTTCAACCCTCAGAAGCCAACAGAGGGTAAGAAAAACAGAAGACACAAAGAAAAACATGATCTTTGTTGAAAACTACAAAACTTTCTTGTTATAAATCATAATGTTGATTGTTATCATAATAATCCTAACAATAGAAGAAGTATCAAATTCAGTTCAATGAGTACAGGTAGAGAGGATACTGGGCCCCTCCAGTCTTAGGTGGGGATAGCAAAATGGCTATTTCTCCTGGGCACACACAGGTGGGCAGAACTAATGACCCCTCATTGAAAAACAAGGACTGGGTGAATAGGTGTGTCACAGGAGATACCATAGGGTGAAGGAAAATGGGAGGGAAGCACAGAAAATATACAGACATATCATGTTTTCTACACTGTATTATGACAAGAACATAAGCAGCCGTGTGGGTGACTAGCAGCCTTGTAGCTAAAGGGAGGCTAACTGTACATATACATACTCATAGCTACACACATACACATACACAAACCCACATGCATCCTCAGATACACACTTGCACAAGCATACACATATACACAAACATATACACATGCATACATACGTACACATCTACATCTACACATCTATGTGTACACACACACATACACACATATACACACACACAAATTCTGTAACTTCTATTATATGGAGCTTTATTCTAACCAAATGGCTGAAGTCAGTTTCCTAGCCCTGGATCCACACTTTTAAAACTGGTGCATTAAAAACATGAAGCTGGTGAATAAAACATTCCCCTCATTTTAGAAACAAAAAAGGTGAAACGGTTCAAAGTTTTGCTTGCATTTTTTAGTGCAAATTTTGTAAGAAGGACAAAGGAGAAAAGGAATGGAAAAACAAAAAGCTGATGAAAGTAGATCAGAAAGATTTTGCTATGGAACTCATGAAGGTATTACCCAGAATGGCTTCCAAGAATTCAAAGGACATAATGAAAAAGAGTTTTCCATAAAATGTGAGTGCAGTACAGAGATACAAGGGTCCATGGAATAAATGAAAAGACAACAAAAGGAAATGAAAAAGTAAGCTGGCAGAGCTCAGAGAAGAAGTAAAATTAATTTTAAACCTCACATGATACAAATGAAGGCCACATTAGAAGCAGGTAACAGGAGGTCAGAATCTGCTGATGATACAACTAGGAACCTGGAGAGTATGCTGAAAATAAGGAAAGTGAAGTAATGGAATGAAAAAGAACAGAGATGATAAGTGGAAGAGGTAAACCTTCAAATATAATTTTCAAGATTTTTTTCTCTGAAATAAAAGATCTGATGCTACCTATTATTATATTTCTGGGAAATAATAGTTATGATTGGTGGCAGACCAGGGGCAACTCTGTTGAGGATATAAAGGAACATATAAGATCACTTAAAAATGGGTAAAATCAGCCTGGATTTATAACTCACAGCAGTATTCATTGCTAGCATGTGATTAATCAATGCCTATTCAGTTCTTGGAAAAAATGTAAATCAAGTATTTTATTCACAGTTAAAATCATTACTCGAATATAACATGGTGGCAAATAAACAACTTTTTAAAAAAATAAAAAGTTGTTGGAAATCTAAGAGCCTTAAAATATTTTTGTGAAAACAATTGAAAGGTAAATTTGAGCAATGAAATAATAAATGGAAAATCTCTGTAGTTAAAATATGGCATTTTAATTAGGGCCAAGTTTAAAACAACGGTTGGAATATGACTAAGTGACAGAAGGTAAGTATTATAAATTCTAACTGTGCAGAATTTTAACATAACTTTAACAAGCTATAAACAGGAAAAACAGAGAAGGTGAAGGAGTACAAGGATCTTATTTCTTCACTCAAGGTTTTCAGGTAGGGGAGGACCAGTATGTATCAGATGTTACATCAATAAGTATGTATATATGTATAAATTCTAGAATTTAGAATGCTGTAATTGAGAATTTGAGAACAAAAATATAGCCAACTAAAATCAGATTGAGGAGAGAAATGAGAAAAAATATGTGAAAACAGAACCATATTAATTCCCTTGCAATTCATACTGTGTGGTCAAGTTGTAATAAATAAGAAATTCACTCTATTATATAATATTATATGCACAGTTAAGAAAATCCTCCAGATTATATAAAATTATATAAGACTTTCACTTAGATAATAATAGAATACACATACTTTTCCCTGTTTTCCCTCTGAACACAGTTAAAATTCTAGACCATATGTACAAAACAAACATAAAAATCACCATAATGTGGAAAAAAGAGGCAGACTGGCTAGGGACCTCATACACCTAAGGAACAACACGATGGCAAGACTTCTGGCCTTTCTTTTTGTCTTTTGTATCCTGGAATGAGTGTCGGAGAAGCCTACAACTCAGAGAGATAATTTGTCCAGTTGAAGGACTAGGAATAGGGGCAGCTCAGCAAGACAGAAAACTTTTAGACAATAACTGGTCTTCTTCTGCAAACACTACAGAATACAACGGCATCCCTAACTGTGATTCTATCAGTAAAGGCTGAATGAAGTGTGCACTTTCCTGAGCCTACCTGGATGTGAAAAGCGACCCCTCTCCTGTGAGTTGGGACTTATAGCCTTGTCCAGGTGGTAATGACATCCTTRCTGTCAGTGTGGAGTATAGGGAATGAGAACCTGCACCCAACCAGGCAGTAAGGAGTCACCAGCCTTTCCCTCTGGGAGATCTAATGGAAGGGTAGGACTTCCATCACCACCAAGCAGCAAAGAGCCCATCCCATGCAGTGTCAGAGCAGGTCCACTGGAGAGCCACATGGAAGCACCTCTGCCCCTCTAGGGGAGTTGCTGTCTACAGAGGCCTAGTGAGGATTCTGAACTGGCCTAGGAGGAAAGAAGCAGATTTCCCACTTGAAGGCCAACTGGGAAACTTTGACTTTACCTCCTATTTGCTGAATCAATCCCTTCTCTCTCTCTCTCTCTCTCTCTCTCTCTCTCTCTCTCTCTCTCTCTCTTGGCCAGTGCAATGTCATAGGAAGCTTTAAAAAAGTGAAAGACTTAAATGAGATCTGTAGTCTCACTTCACAATATTAAAAATGTCCAGGTTTCAATAAAAATGATTCATCATACTAACAACAGACAAGGTCCACTTAACTGATAAAAGACAATAGATATCAGCCCTTGAAGACTAAGGTTAGACTTGTCTAACAAGTATTTTAAACCAGTCATCAAAACATGATTCAATGAGCAACAACAAATGTGATTAAAACCAATAAAAATATAAAAGACTCAGTAAAGAATAAGAAACATGAAGAAGAACCAAATGGAAATTTTATAACCAGAAAATGCAATAACAAAAATTTAAATAGCTCAAGAGATGGATTAAGCAGGAGAATGAACAGGACACAACCACAAATTAGTGAACTTTAATACAGAACCATAGAAATTATCATACTGAATAAGAGAGTGAAAAAAATAACAAACAACTCTCAAATAAATAAACAAATAGATAATGGAATCACAGGGGACCTTGAGACTACAATAAAAAATATAACATTTATGTCATAAGAAAAGTGAGTTCTAGAAGAGAGGAGAAATGGAGAAGGCCAAACAAGTATTTGAAGGAAAAATGACTGAAAATGTCTCAAATATAACAACAGCAAAAAAAAGTAAGTCTACAAAGTCAAGAAAATGAGTGATTGCCAAAAAGGTTAAACTCAAAAATATTTGAAAAACACATTTCAACTTCTGAAAATTAAAAAAAAAAATCTGAAAAGCAGTGAAAGAGAAAGACCTCAGCTAAAGAGGAAGTGCACATCGAATGGCAGCAGAATTCTCATTAAAACCTTGGGGAGAGATGCAGCATTTTCCATGTGCTGAGAGAAAAAAAGCAAAAATCAAAAAACTTTGAATCCAGAGTCCTATATCCACTGAAAGCATCCTCCAAGAATAAAGGAGAAAAACATATCCTCAGAGGAAGGAAAATTATGTTTATTGCCAGTAGACTTAACTTAAAGAAATACCTAAAGGAAATTCTTGAAACTGAAAGAAATGAGGAAGAATATTAGGAAATTTAGACTGCAAAAAAGGAAAGAATAAATTACAGATACATGAAATTTATTTTCCTTCTCTTTTCTAAAATATGCTTGACAAAGGAAGCAAAAATGTAGTTCTCAATGGATTTAGAAGAAATTTTTAAGATAATTGCATTATAAATGGGGAGGGTAAAGGTACATAAAGAATCTGAGGTTTCTACACTTCTTTCAAATTGGTAAAAATGTCACAGTGGAGCATAACAAGTCACACATGTATACTGTAACACCCACAGGAATCAGGAACAATCTATATGGAAAGATAAGCTGGAAAATGCTATAGATAAATCAGATTGCATTCAAAATGCTAAAGTAATTAAAAAGAAGTTGGAAAATGAAAAACATGGAACAAACTAAAAAACAAAATGACAAACTTAAAATGTTAGCAATTACATTGAATATAAAAAATCATCTAAATATACCAATCAAAATATGTTCTGTCATTCGTGAAAACATGGATAAACCCAAAGGACATTCGGTAAGCCAAGCACAGAAAGACAATACATAATGTAACTCCTAAGCTGAATCCAGAAAAATTCATCTTATATAAGGAGAATATAATGATGATTGTTAGAGGCTGGGTAGTTGAAACTGGAAGGAGGGAGCCCTGGGAGATATTTGTTGCAGGTACATAATTACAGGTAGAGAGGAGGAATGAATCTYAGGAGATTACTGTACAGTAAGGAAACTAAAGTGAATAAGCAAATGCAGTTCTTGAGCAGTGTAAACTGGGAATGTTATATGCTATTACCAAAAAAATCTATGTGAGATAATACATTTCTTAATCATTCTGCAATGTGTATGTACTTCAAAATGTCCTATTCCATACAAAAGAAAACATACAACGTTATCTTTCAGTCTACCTATATATGCATAAATATAAGGAGAATATAACATACATATAGATTAGTTGGAAATAAAAGAATAGAAAACAATATACCATGTGATGAAGTAGACTTCAGAGCAGAGAAAAATTACCAGTGACAGAGGGCCATTTTATAAGGATGAAATCATTCCTTAAGAAGACACTGAACTCCTAAATGTGTCTGCTTCAAATATCACACCCACCAAATATACGAAGAAAAGTCTGATACTTCTAAAGGGAAAAACAGACAAATTCATTATTACAGTTGGAGATTTCAACACCCCTTTGTCAATAATTGATAGAACAGAAATTCAGCAAGGCTATAGAAAAACGCAATCAAAATGATCTTATCAACATGTATGGACAGCTCCATCCAATAATAAGAGAATACATATTTTATTTCAAGTGTCCATAGAACATATTCCAGTAATAACAAAACTTATGCTATTTCCAGGAAAAAAAAAACCTGTACCACATCATTTAAAAATAACCTTCTTAAATACCTAGTAGATTTTTTAAAAAGAAGCAAATAAAATTGGTATTCCAGAAATTTGAAAACAACAATCATGAAATCTAGAACCCTTGGGGTAAAGCTAATTCAGTAATTAGAGGAAAATTTATCTTCTAGAATACATTAGTATATGAGAAGTGATAAAAATAAAGAACAATAAAACAATAAAATAAAATGAAAATGAGGAATTACTGAAGTAAAAATAGGGAAAATATGACTTAGGTAAGAAGTTACATTAAGACCATTGACCACCAATCTAGATAAAAGTAAAGTTGGAAATCTTATATAACTTTGTTCTCCACATTACTTCTGGTTGTATAAAGTACTTAAAGACAATTGATAAAAACCATGAGGATACAAGAATTAACATAGGACTTTAAAAAGAAATTATGAGACCATATATAAAGCTGAGAAAAAAATCTGAAATCATGAAACCATGAAAGATAAAGAAATAACATTGTCTTCTGGGTTTAAGGGAAAACCAAAAGTGTCTTCAAAGTATAAAATATCTCCACCACACACACACACACAAAATCAAAAGATAAACAAACTCTGAAAGAATAAAGACCAACAAAGGACTTTCTTAATAAAGAAGTGTCACTATATGTAGATAAAAAAGGATCCACAGCTTATCAAAAGCTGTTCAGCCTCTTTTCCTAATGTGAGAAATTCAAAGTTAAGTTCTATTTACATCCCATTGTCTCCCCCATCAGATTTTCATAGCATGTTACATTAACTAAACATTGAAATAGAGCCACATTGATACTACTTCTTAGTATTTATCTCTTTGTAGAGAAATTTAATAAAGTTAACGACAATTTAAAATGCACATATTGTTTTATCCAAAGAACCTTCTGGTAATTTGCTCTACCAATATAATGTTATATTTGAATAAACACATAATATATTCATTATGGCATTGTTTATACTAAAATTATTTTAAACAATCTACTTGTCCATCAATTGTGGAGTGAGGAATATAAATTCTGTGTGATCAAATAAATTCTAATGCACCTATTTTATTTATTTTTTTTWAAAAACTGGTCTGTCCTATGCTAATTAGGAAAAATCTTGGGGGAATTTTATTTATCAAATAAAGCAAAAATTATGTTATTATTCATCTCTATTAACCTTTTGCTTAAAGAAAAAGGTTAAAGGAGGAAGATAGATACACCTACAAATACTTCATTAATGTGGAATACTTCTGAACCTATTCAGTCATCCTCCACTTAATTTGACAAATTTTTATTGAAGTCAATGCCTGTTTAAGCTTACAGAACAATATGTGTAAAATAGACAATATTCTTGCAAATTGCTTCCTAGAGGGTAAGGAAGATAATAAGCAATAAACATAATTAGGAAGTGAATTACATGTATTCTAGAGGGCATAAAATATGTGGTAAGATTACAAATGGAGACTGACTAGGGCCAGAGAGCATGGGGTGGACCAATGGTTTCTATAGAGTGGACAGGGTAAGTCTCATTAAAAGAAGAGAAACTATGCTATGGAGAAAACCTGGTGGTGGTATTTAAGAAGAGAATCAGGGAGACTGGAGTACATATAGAATGCTTTATCCCATAATATATATTGTTATGTACTGTTTGAAAGAATTGTGCAATAACCTTAACTCTACAAGAGCCATGTTCTATTCACAATTCTGTCTAAATATTATCCTAAGACTTAGGCCTGCAGAAACATTTCTAAATTATATATTATATATATATATCTTGGGATAGCAGGGGTTAGAGGTAGTAGTAGTAGGAGTTCTATATTTTCACAGTTCCCTGGGTTCCAACAAAGCAATTCAAGGTTTAATTTGCCTTAAAGGCAAACGTTAACTTAGGGAAGTTAACTTAAAGGTGGTGAACTTAAGGTAGCCTATTACAAATRCAATGGAGATTCAACCATTCATCATACAACTATAACTGTTACCTAACAAAATCAAAACCCTTCTTTCATTTGGTTCTAAAGTTAAGTGCAGCTATTCAGTCAAATAAAGAAAAGTGTCATGCATATTGAATTCAAATACCTGCTCTGCTTTGTATTAACCAATGCCTCTGGGCAAGTTTAAAAAAAAAATCTGTCTAATGTTTTTCCTGCTAGCTGGAATTAAAAAAATAAAGAAATCTCTAATGTCTCTCCTGCTAGCTGGAATTGAAAGAATAGTTGATTAGAAGTCAGATGTTCTAAATTTGAGTCTTGATTCTTAATCTTACTGGCTGTCTCTGAGTTTCGATTTTCCCAAGAGTAAAATAAGAATACTGTTACCCACATCACAGGGGTATTTGTGAGCATTAAATGAGATAATTCATGTGGAAAATATCATTATGTAAAAATACTATAAACTGGAGGTCATAAATGGCAGGCTCTTGGCCAAATCTAGCCACAAATGTGTTTGAATTGGCTGGCATAGTTTGACTTCCACCGTGCTGTAAAACTATTTTAATTAGTTGCCAACTTTCAAAGTTTGGATAATTTCATATAAAATATGGATTTTCAGTTTTCCTGAAAAAAAATCCTATTAGCTGGCAATATTGGGCCCATATTCCTCATGACAAAATCAACTAAATGTGAACATTATTCTCAGGCTAGGGGGCTCCACTCTTCCATTGGTAGCACTTCCCATCACTCAGGTGCTTCTCCTGGACATGAAGGAGAGTCTCAGTTTTCCTTATGTCTGGTCCTTGTCACTTACCTTTGTCTTAACTTCCCTTGGCAGTGCATTTTAGTTTGTGTTCTTCACTGCTCTATGGTGAAATGCTCTTTTGATTTCAGTACACAAATGTTAAGGAGCAAACTGCTCATCTTTCTTCTTCAACAATTATGAGACTAACTATATAAAATACTCCCTCCTCTAATTGGGAATTATTGCTGATTATTCATTAGGATAGCTGCAGTTCACAGTGTGCCAGGCACATAGTACAAGCTCAGTAAATATTTATGGGGTGAATGAAAAGTGAATGAATGACAGTGATGTGCTTGTGAGCCTACAGATAGATCTGGGGGATTCTTTAATTGTGTAATGCTTTTGCTGTCTAGATATGGCTACTTTATCTGGAGTACAGAAAGATGTTTACTCATATGACACTTTCATTCAGTCTGACATTTTAAAAACTTTTTTTCCTGCAGGATGTCCCCAGACAAGATATGGCACAAATTGTGAATTAAACTGTAACTGTAAAAATGGTGGACTTTGTAATATCGAGGACGGAAGCTGTACCTGTGGTCTTGGGTGGACAGGAAATTATTGTGAAAAAGGCAAGTTGTTATAGTACCTTAAGATTCCATATATATATGTGTGTATATATATATACACATATATATATATATATATATGTATACACACACACACACACACATGCACACACACACACACACACACACACACACACACACCCTTTAGCGTGTATCATCACTGGTTATAATAGAGGCCAGTGAAGAAACTGTTTTTCAAGTAAGTGCATGCAAGTTTTTTATGCATTTCCAATAAAAATAGGTATGTAAATATTGATTATCTTGTTACTGGAATATCACATGAAAACTCTTAAACTTCTTAAGTAATTGAAATATTATTAATGTGCAAGAGCTCCTCTGAGACCAATATTTCATTCTCTCTTCAGCCAGTTCTTAAGTTCAAAGCCATTGTGTATATAAACTCATCCTCTGAACCTTCAATTTCTAGGCACAGAACTGGAGAACCTCAGTCACCACTGAGGCCTTGAGGCAGGCAGGGTGGAGGATGTGTGGCCTGAAAAGAACCAGTTCACATTAGTATTAGACCCAGTGCAAGGAAGTGATAGTGACCTGCCAGAAGTCTCCAAACTTGACTTCATCAGGAAAAATTTAATCCTGTATTGTTATGTATGTATTTAGTATAAATATTTTGATTTATCAATAACATTCTTGTACTTCTTGATACTTTGTCTATCATGTGTATATTATACAATATATGAAAGTTTTAATTAATAAAAATGGAAAAAGATTGGGCTGGGGTTGTGGCTCAGCGGTAGAGCACTCGCTTTGCATTTGCGAAACCCTGGGTTCAACAGCACCACGTTAAAAAAAAAAAAAGTGAATGTATAAAATAAAGGTATTGTGTCCAACTACAACTAAAAGATAAATATTTTAAAAAATGGAAAAAGACAAACATTAATGGTTACTTTCTTCTTGAACCACAATTTATTATTTTGTTCATCACTGAAGAGCAGCTACTAACTACAGTTAGAGCCAACTATTATAGAAGAAAAATTGTATTTTGGCAGAATACAGAACAATGGTTCTTGTTGTGAGACAGTGTGCTGGAGGCCTAAACTTAGGGTGCCCTAAGTTTAAACAATATACGTGTGTGTGTGTGTGTGTGTGTGTGTCTGCATGTATGTTTATTTATTTACAGTTAATTTTCATCTAGATGTTTTCAACTGTGAGTGTATGGCTCTTTAGGTCACAATGAATGTGATTATACACCATCCATCACTTCTAATTTAATGGTCATGAAATTTGACAGCATGATATATAGAAAAGAACACCTTGCAACTTGAATGGATAAATATATATATATGCTAACCACCACTCTGCTAATACCATGCAGGCTGTCTTTGGGTAGCCTCTCTGTGGACTGGTTTTCCCACCTAAAGTGAGAGAGTATGGAGCTGAATAAAACCCAATAGCCCTTCTAAATATAATATTCTACTGGCCTCTCTTTGTACAAATGCAACACTAATTTTATTATGGAGGCTTTATTAGATATGTTTAATATGAAAGTTCTGTCCTTCCAATTGCTCTTCTTATCCAGAATTTTTCTTCCTATTCTTGTTCATTTGTTCTTCCAAGTGAACTTTATAATCAAATATCTAAATGAAAAACAAAACAAAAAATAATCAGATGTTTTATTGTCCCTGTGTCTACTTTCTCTCAGGAAGAGTTAAGATTCTTATATAAACTCATCCCATAAGAACAGACATGGTATATCTTTCCATTAGTTCAGATATTTTGCTCCCTATTGAGTATGATGCCATACTTTAATATTCATATTAAAATATGACTAATTAATTTTATAACTTATTCAATATTTTACTGTTTCAATGTATTACAACTTTCTTTTCTTCACATATGAAATTAATAATATGAGTTTTCCTTTTAGGCTGATAAATATGATATATTATGAATTTTTAAATTTTGAATGACCTTATATGTTAGGAATAAGTATTTGGTCATAATGCATTATTTCATATTGTGCCTTTGGAATCTGTATACCTTTAAAACCAAATCTGCACTGATATTTATAAGAGAAATTGAGCAGAGTTATTTATGCAATTTTGTTCCGTATTGGAATTGATATTATAATCACTCAATAAAATATATTTGAAATGTTCCTTCCTTTAAATGCACTGGAATAGTTGAAGTGGCAAGGTGATGAACTCATTGGTAAATATTTATAGAATTTCCCTGTAAACCAGTACTGATGCTTTCCCTTTTTAATATGGGAGCAATTTTATATTTTTTTTCATTGTAATTGACTCATCTAGGTTTCTGCCTCAAATTAGGACAATTTTGGTAAGTCGTTTTCTGTAAGATTTTCCATTTCATTTAAAAAATCTATTTGGTTATAATTTTGAAATTTATCTTTTTTGATGGTTATTTCCTCCATCCTTTAAAAAATATTCTGTACATGTGCATGCTTTATTTTAATTCGTTGAGCTAGCCAATGGTTCATGTGCTTTCATTTTTTTCATTAAGTCTCTTTTTTTTCCTTCCAGCCTTTGAACTCATTTTAAACTCAGTTGTCTGTTAACTAAAAATAATGGCTTCATGGTTTCTTTCTCAGAATGTTCTCCTGGTTATTATGGCCCAAACTGCTATTTTAATTGCACATGTCGGAACTATGGAATTTGCAACAGGTTTTCTGGAAGCTGTGAATGCCTCCAAGGTTATTATGGACAAAGCTGTGAGCATGGTAAGCAGAGAAATTAATGGTCATACTATGGTATTTGTAACTTTTCTAGGCTTTCAAAATACATTCAAATCATAGAAGTAATATATTCACATTATATCAAACTATAAAGCTTTTAGTGTATATTCTTGCAATTAGAGCTAATTTCACAATTAACATTTAATCTCTAAACATTGACAATTGCCATGTTGAAAAAAATTGGTCTTTTTAGTTCTTTTTGGTTCTTCTCTGCAAGAAATTGTTCTATGCACCCATGATTATTTGGAGTAGACACTGGCAGATAATGTGCCCTGAGAACCACCACAAGTCCTTCAGAACAAAATTATTCTTCTGATAGCTGCCCAAAGGCAATAACAGATGAGGAAGCTACTTATTTCTGTCATGTTAATCTAGACTTGACTCTGAAATATCTGCTTTCAAGTTCTCTTTGAACACGTTGATTTATATTGTCTCTTAATTTATATTTTCAGCTAAAATTAGGAATGCAAGTAATATAGAGTAATTTGTCTTTGGCATCAGAGAGTTCTATTGGACAAGACAGTTAAGAGATTAAGATTTGAGAGTTTAGGCTCTAGAATTAGTCATGTGTGGTCCACCTCTCCCAGTGTCACCATCTATAGAGTGGAGCTAATAATAGCCAGCTGCCTTTTAAGGTTGTCATGAGGACCAAGTAAGAAGATACCTTGGAAACTTTAGCACTGAGAACTTTGGCAAAAGCTCAGTGAATATTAGTTATTTAGAATGAAAAGCATTTTCTAAAGTCCCTGAAATGATATTAACTATGTTCCTTTTTGTTTCATCCTGACCAATGTATTTCATAGGAACAGATATTACCAAGCCTTTGAGAGTTTAGAACTGTGGCAATGATTCTAAGTTGATTTTTTTTTTTTGAATCAGGGACTATGGGAACAAATGTCTTATGGTTTTTGTTTCTTTATTTTGTTTTTGAAATTGGAATAAAAGATAAAAGAAGAAAAATATTTATTTGAAATCCATCGATTTTATCCTACATGCAGTGGGATATCAGGGAAGGTTTTGAGTAAATAAGAAATATCACTCTGATTAAATAACTCTGAATGTGGGTACATTATTGATAATTAGGAAAAGGACTCATCAGTGGAGGACACCTGGGAAACTTGAATGATAATCCAGGGTTTTAAAAATCTGGACTGGAATGAAATGGAAATGAATGAACATTTTGAGAAAACTATTGACTGCATTAGTGATTGAGGTGGTCGTGGATATAAGGAAAATGAAAAATTCAAAGATGGTTCTAAACTTCCAAACCAGGAAACATGGAAGAATAGTATTATTTAAGGGAATGAAAAGGTCAGGCAAGGCTACCTTTATGGTCCTAGTTTTATACATAATTAAATATAGAAAAAATCTGATTTTTGTATGCAGTCTCAATTAAAATTAATTTCATAAGAATGAAAAGCAGAAAAAATCTGAACTAGATTTCCACTTATTGTTTGTTTTTAAGATCAGTAAATGGAGGAATATATATATATATATATATATATATATATATATATATATATATATATATATATATATTTCTTTTGTTATTTCCTTTTGTGTTTGTCTCCTTTTTCTACTCCTTAATTGTCTTTCCTAATGATATATCTGTCCTGAGTAACTCTATGCAGACATGAGAAGGGTCAACTCCATCAACATGGGCAAACTCAGCTCTGTGTGCCCCAAACGGGGTAGGGAGCCAGGGGAGACAGAGAGAGATAAAAAGGAGAAAGGAAGGATGATGGATGGAAGGAAAGTAGGAAAGAAGGAAAGAAAGAAAGACAAGGGGAAATAATGGAAATTAAAGAGTGAGTAAACTTTGTTTCATAGGTGGATGGCAGACACATCTCTAGGGAAACCTGGAGATAAGAAATGGAAATACTTTGTCCTAGTCAGGCTTAGTTCTGGGACACTTCAAAGAGGACCATCTCCTTAGGCAGATAACAATTTAGCTTATAAAGAAACACATTTGCTTGGATACAAGGTTTCTAAAGGTGAACCATTACTCCTAATGGTTACAAAAAGTAACTTACAAAAGTAGTGATCTTCAACTCTGGAGGAAAAATAGAACATGCTGGACTTACCAGAAGGCAGTTGTGTATTGTATTTAATAGGTGATGTAAGGAAAATTTTCAATGATTAAATTTCATTGACTATAAATTCCAACTTCTGGCCAGGCAAGATGGTACACACCTGTAATCCCAGAAGCTCAGACGCTAGCACAGGAGGATCTAGAGTTCAAAGTCAGCCTCAGAAAAAGCAAGGCACTAAGCAATTCAGTGAGGCCCTATTTCTAAATAAAACACAAAATAGGACTGGGGATGAGGCTCAGTGGTTGAGTGCCCCTGAGTTCAATTCCCAGTACCCCTCCCCCCAAAATTTCCAACATCCATGTAAGATGTGCACCATATTTCCTGTTTTTTATCCTCTTTCTCTCTCCTTTACTCCCCTTCCCACTGTGCTTCATACCCTCTCTGTTGTCCATTCCCAGGATTTTAAATATCAAAAACTATATGGGGGACTGGGGATGCCTGGCATGCTCGGGGCACTGGATTCGATCCTCAGCACCATATAAAAATAAAATAAAGATGTTGTTTCCACTGAAAACTGAAAAATAAATATTACAAAATTCTCTCTCTCTCTTCTCTCTCTCTCTTAAAAAAACTATATGAATCATCTTCCACAGACACTGTCTTATGAAAAAACAATTCAAAATTATTATCATTAAATTTATCCTTAATCTGAAGTTTGAAGACTGTTCTTTTAGGTGTTTATAGTTTGACAGGGTTTAGTGATGTTTTTGCCAACTATGGTACATCAGAGCAACTAAATTCCACATACTTGAAGATATTTCAAATTATCTTATGGATGTTTCTAAACTAGTCTCAGAGAATGGCATCTGTATGTTCACTTATTCATATGAGTAAACTGTTGTCAATGTGCTTCTCCATATAGCTTTTTCTTATTTTCAAATTTTCTTTTTCCTTCTCCTTATTTGGTCTTTAGAAACAAATGACCTGGAGCATATTCATTAATTTTTCCTTTATTTATTTTTAAGAGTTAAAATAGCATTTTGACATTTCTATTTTCCAGCATGCCCACCTGGTTTTTATGGCTTGAATTGTGCTCACATCTGTGACTGCAAAAATGGAGGCAGCTGTGATATAAGAAGTGGACAGTGCATTTGCCCAGCAGGTTTTCATGGCAGCCAGTGTGAAAAAGGTATAGCCAGGGCCATTTTAAGCATAAGACATGAACATTCTGTGTGACTGTGAGATCTTCCTAACCAGGGGCAGACATGCAAACCCAAACTGAAAATATGTAACAATCTCATAGTTTCTGACATCAAAGTAACAGGAATTCACTCAGTGACCACTTTAATGGGTCCTTCTGATTTTGATGCTTCATTGTTCCTTCTGATTTGTTGTTGACTTTTGTGCACAAAAATGTTATTTTCCCTTAAATGAAATTGTTTAACATCTCAGAACACAGTTGAAGCTGTTAGTCTTCAACAGATGAAGATTCTACCTCTGAATGAAAGGAAAGAGTTCATTAAATATTTTTGAAGAAATATGACTTATATATTGAGTTCAATGGTACTGATACTAATACAAAGACTATGAAAATATTAAAAGAGGTGATTTAGGCATTTATCACTAGAATGTGATCACAGCTATGAGTGTTTATGAAGATATAAAGATAAGAACTTAGGCTACTCAATTTGAAATATTATAAAACCCTCAATGACTGATCAATTCTATTAGAAGTAATGCCAGGCAGACTACATAGTTTTGGGTTAACAACTATGAGTACCATTTTGACCTATTTTATGTACATTCTTATGCACAGAATTACAACAATCATGATGATGTTAATAATACAATGATAATAGAAATTTAACTTTAAGTGATAAATCAAGTTATTGTCTGTGGCCTTTTAAAAGCATATCTATTAGTCCCATACCATATTCTCAGATGTCACTAAAGCTTTACATATTTTATCTCTTATTCATCCTCTATTCATATATTATTTAGTAACTCAATAAAGTGATAATTATTATATGCCTGTTTCTGTGTTAAATTCTGGAAATATAATGGAAGACATGGAACTTATAATCTTCTAGAAAGATGCACAATAAATAATGCTTTGAGGGAAAATGTTAAAAAAAAAATAACACTCTTAGCCAGTAGACTTGGTATTCTTCCTTAAATTTCTATCTTCAGTTTATTTATTTTCTCAAAAATATAAACCAGTGTCAAAGTAAGTCAATTTTAAATCCTAAATATCAAATGAGAATGGACCTTATTTCTGAGAATTCTAAAACTTTCTTCTTCTGACCAGCAAATCTCACTTTGTCATCCCACTTTGCTATTTGGATGATTTTATTTGCTATCTTGATAATTTTATCATTAATCTCAATTTAAAGGTTGCATTGTTCAATGTGGTAGTCATTAACAGAATGTTGCTGTTTAATTGAACTTAAAATTCACCTCCATAGTCACACATGACACATTTCAAGTGGCCGGTTGTATCTATTGACTACCATATTGGAAAGCACAATGTTACGGTTTGGATGTGAGGTATCCCCCAAAAGCACACATGTGAGACTATGCAAAAAAGTTCAGAGGAGAAATGATTGGGTTGTAAGAGTCTTAACCCAATCAGTGAATTGATCCCCTGATTGGGATTAACTAAGTGGTAACTAAAGTGGTAGGGTGTGGCAGGAGGAGGTGGGAATTGGGGCATGGCTTTAGGGTATATGTTTGTATCTGGCAAGTGGAGACCCCTCTCTCTGTTTTCTGATCACCATGTGAGCCGCGTCCCTCCACTCCATTCTCCATTCTTCTACCATGAGGAATGGARSCAGCCTTTTCTGGTCTAAGACCTCTGAAACTACGAGCCCCGAAATAAACCTTTCCTCCTTTATACAGTTGTTTTGGTTGCATCCTTTAGTCACAGCGGTGCAAAAGCTGACTAAAACACCCACGGTACAGCACATTTCCATCAGTGAAAGCTCAAGGGGTTCATATTTCAGCGTTTCTCTTTCCTTTGTAGAGTGTCTGCTGGGAATGTTTGGAGATAACTGCCATCAGCTTTGTGACTGTGAAGGAAAAAGTTACTGCCATCCAGTAACTGGGAAATGCCTTTGCCCACCAGGGAGAACTGGAGCTCGATGTGAAGCCGGTATGAGCCAGAGCACCTCAGAACTCCCCTCGGATTCATGTTCACACAGAGATCTGCAGACACTTTTATGCTAGAAATAACATTCTATTAAAGAACACTGTCCGAATATTGCTTTACACCTTGCCCCTTAGCAAGATGAATCAAGGTTTGTATTCTTACATCACAGGCACCCAYACTGGCAATTTGGTTGACAGAGGGCATAAGGTAAGTACCTACATAGTCAACCTGATAACAAAGGTGACTCACAGAATTCAACAGAATAAAGTAATTATTATACACAGTCCCAGAAATATTTTTGAGACTGAAGCTCCCAGGTAGTCTCTGCAAATTGAAATCTATACTTTATTTTCCTTTCCAATCACAGGAAGAATGACCCAGAATGAAAAGCTCTGATTCTTCAGGAACTATCCTAAGAAGAGGATAGAATAGACTGAGATGATTGCTGACTAATCATTTATTATTAGACTTGATGAATGCTCGCCAGATCAAAAGGCTTTAAATAATTCACAATAGTCCTGAAAGACCGAGCCTGCCTCATATATGACCCAAAACAGTGTGTTTAATGTCAGAATTTACTTTAATTATCTTCAAAAAGAGAAAGGCTAAGACTATGTATTTCTAAGATCATTTCCTGCACTAATAATCTATGATCCTATAACGTGGGGTTATGATAATGGTAAGAAAGCCACAGTAACCTTCTAGCTCATTAAAAAAAAAATGCTGTTCAGCAGCACTTTCACCTCTGTACATCCCACTTGCTTCTGAGGGATAGCAATGCAGCTGCTTTCTTTGAATGCCAGGGATTATCTTAAATATTTTGCCTCAGTTCTTTTTGTTCTAACCACAACCTTACAAGGTTGTCACTAGTCAGTCATATTCCTATTTGTCAGAAGAAAAAGCTGGAGCACAGAAAGTTAGCAAGCGGCAGAACCAAGATTTAAACCCAGACAGTCTGGTTCCAGACTTTGTGCAAGGCTATCTGTAGACAATACTGTATGTGAATGTATACATATACTCCAGAATAAGAAACCACCAATTGCTCTCAAGAATGCTATATTCCTTATTATCTCTTCTTCCATTTTTCATAGACGTATATAATATGATCAGGAGGTTATGAATATTGATTTGGAATCCTTTGGCTTTTCCAACCTTGGGGGGGGGAGGTTCTCTCTCTCTCTCTCTCTCTCTCTCTCTCTCTCTCTCTCTCCCTTTCTTCCTCTTCTTTCTTTTCTTTTCTTTTTTTTTTTGCAAAACTGTGTCATTTAAATTTCGGATCCATGTGTACTATAAGCTTTTTGAGAGTCCAGTCCATATTATTTTTAAATTTTTCTTTTACCAGAAAAAAAGCCTAGAGCACAGTTTAACACACGATAAGCTTCAGCAAATGTTTGTGGAAAGGATTCTTCTCTTCTCAGCATTCTTCACGAGTCAGAGTGGACAGAGGACTTGAACCTTGTAACAACTAAATCTATCAGAACAAATATCTGCARTACATACGTCACTCATTGAATGGGCACTAAAAGCAGAATGCTTGTAGCATTTGTGGTCCCACCTGAACACTGAAGACAACCACAGATGTTTATTGAGTGCACATTATGTAACTTGCATTTTAGTTTATTTTCTGTGCCCTTCCTGTCATCACCACTCTCGTGTTATAGATGAGGAAGCTGAAATTAAAAAAAAAAAAAACAGCTAAGTACCTTGCCCACTGTTACACAGCTAGGAAGTGGTAGATTAGGAATGTGAAATAGATAGTCTGGGTTCAGAGCTGAACTTTTACCATCCCCATTATATCACCTCTCAGGGGACAGAAAGAATAGGAAGTGATTTTGCTTGCCCATATGCAGTGTCCAATATGATAGTCATTAACCATATATTGCTAATCAATTTAAATTTAAAACTTGAAATTCACCTACTCCCTTACACAGGACATACTTCAAGCACCCAATGAACACATGAAGTTATTCACAACCAATCTGGATAGCACAATATAGGACATGTCCATCACTACAGAATGTTTTATTGGATAGCACCCAGCAGTGTTTTAAAACTAATCACTAAACCAAGAGAGCTTATGGACAGAATGTAAGTTAAAGAAGCCTCTATCTTCTATAGTCTAAATTTCTGTATCACATATCTCTCACCATCCAGAAGCAAATTGCCACATTACTGTGGATCTATGGGTACCCCAAGGTCCCTCTTGTCATGAGCTCATGGAGGTGCCCACAGCCTACACAGATGCACTACCAGGTCTTTTATTTGCATTTTTATTTTCAATTAGGCACAGTTCATCTGCGATATTAACTGTGAGCAGCTGTGTCTATGCAGGCGCCATAAAGATAAAAGACCTCATTTTAACTTGAACTCTGGTAAAGGGCCTATTAAACAGCCATAATATTAATTCATAAAAGAATGTAACAACTTTTTATTGGATTATTCCCCCCCTTGGTAAATTAACATTTTCAGACATTCAAACAGATGTCTTAAATACACATCGTTAATAACATGAAAATGTGGTATTTTTATAAATTAAAATCAGATTCTGTACTGCTCAGGAGAGATCCTGACTAATAACTCTTTCAAACAAGGAAACGTGGTCTTACCACCAAACTAAGTAATCCTGCAGTACACTGGACCAAGGTGGGCATGTGGGGCTAAATTTGAAATAACATATAACTTCTTAATTTTTTTTTCACAAAGCTCAGTGGTTTAGAGAAAAGAATCATTTAAAAGCAGCATTTGCTCTGCCTCCAAAGCTTCCTTCTGAAGGAAGAGATTGAATTGCTGTTTGCTAACATTGAGCCCTGTTTAAAAAAAAAAAAAAAGTTACAAAATCGGTTTGTGTTTCTATTTGCTTCATATTTAAAATCTAATTAATCTAATTAGTTGATTAAGATGAGAGAGGTAGACCACAACTTAGCCCACCTTCAAGAGACTTGAAAAACTAAGCATCCAACTGCTCATGAAATATTTATGAGGAACCAATCTCTAATCCAGAAAAGAGGATATTGAGGCAATAAAGATGTATTCAACAAAATTTTGCCCATGGGCTCAAATTAACACTCCTACCTATATCCTCATGTTTATAATGATATTTCTGAAAATTTACTTTTTCCAACCTGCTACTTTCTTATTTTGAGCTTTCTTCTACATATGCCTTATGTCTTCTTCGTAGTAGTGCAGGAAGAGGAAAGAACACTAGGTGAGAATTCAGAAATGCAGCCCTGCCATTCAGCAAGGATGTAACAATTAAGAAGGTCACTTATGCCATATCAAACCTCAATTTATTTCTCTCTAGAATGGGAGAGCTTACCTCACTGCCATGCCTACCTTAAAGGTATTTGTTAAAATCAATTAAGTTAATGTATTAAGAAGAACCCCCTTTGCTAATGGGACAAAAGTAGGTGACTGTCCTGAAAGCAAAGCAAAGTCTCTCTGGTCCTTAAACATTGGTAAGTTGAGTGACTTCCCAGTCCTGCCTGACTGGCCAGGAAATGTGAGGTTACTTTTTGCCTGTGGGCTGGGCTGGGCTTTCTTATCCTCACAATCCTTCAAAAAACGAACCTTTTTTTTTTTCTCTGCTAATTCTTTCCTGGATACCAGACTAAGAGCAAACACCCATGCTGCCCCCTTTTATTCCACATTTAGTTATTTATAAAGCTAACACTTTTTATTCCTTCCCTTCATTTTCCTACTGGTTGTAAGTATAGTACGATTCAACTTAGAGATTGTTTGAATCCCTCAGTGCATAGAGCGGGATTTTGCAGCAGCAGACACACGGGATCTGTGGCCCTTTGACATATTTTAAGAGATGAAAGAGTTGAATTTAAAGCCATTTCACTTTCAACAACAGAAGCACAAATAATCGTGTTTTTAACCTGAAGACAAATCTCAGGTATTGTGTATTCAGGGGGCATCTTGCCTTTTTTCTGACCTCCAGGCAACTAATCCATTTTCCCTGTGTCCCTCACAATGCTACTTCTATAAATGTTATTGAATAATCTAATTCTGAGAAAGCACTTTAAAAATATCAGTAGCTGTCCTGACTTCTCCTCTTCCCATTTTGTCACTCACTTCCTTCTTACCCACTACCCTCCTCCTGGTTGCTTTTGAAATAGTTGCTTTTATTATACAACATTCTAGCATGGGAAAAAGATACCACAGGATACAAAAAGGTTTTTTTTTTTTTTCAAGTCTATCATTTTCCTATTATGTTCCAAGAAGTAACAGTGAAGAAAAGTGTGCTTGAGAAACATATTTGAATTGCTGTCATTTTTACTTATTTTCTCTCACAGAATGCAAGCCAGGCCAGTATGGATGGAACTGTGCTCTGGAGTGCCAATGTGCTCAGGGAGCTACTTGCAACCCTCTCAATGGGAACTGCACTTGCCCCTCAAGGAGGATGGGTCCAACCTGCGAGGAAAATGGTTTGGACCATCCTCAGTAACCAAATACCAGCAGATTATTGGTTGGCTAATAGACTTCGGTTGAAGTTCACCCACAGTTTATCATCTGAACTTGGCAGAGAGATGTACTTTCTCAACCATCTTCTTCCCAGCCTTGCTTGTTATGGGGGAAAAACGGGACGTCTCCAGTTTATCACTTCCACTCATTAGTCCAATCCCTCGCCTAACTTCCCAACTTCCTTTTGCTGAAGAACATAACCCAAGAATAAGAGAATGTTTTTTCAGGATCCGAACCACAGTAACATTTGGACTAATAAAAGAACCTCTTTTTTTATGTGCACAGGAGGTATTTAAATTTGGAAGGAAGAACTGCTTTTCAGTTCAGGTTGGACTGCACTGAAATATTCACACCTATTCAGTGAAGACCTCAGTGGCCATTAAGGAGCTGGATCCTCTTTAGAAATGTCTAGAATTTCATCTATTTATTCTGGGGATCCTGCTTCACAGCTAATTCTGCTTCACATTGCTAATGTATTGTATTTCAAACATGACTCTTGGTGTGGCAGACTCTTAAGATTCTAGCCACATAAAGATCAGGGGAAAAGGATGACATACATATTTACAGTGAATCATCAAAATGTTTAGTGCTGTTTTTCCTGTCACTAGCCAGGAGGCAGGAAAATAAAAGCAGATAGAAGTGGTTAAGGCCAGTGCTTAGCCTACTCTGGGGGACATGAATTTCCCATAAATTAGGAGCAGATTGGATTTAGACTCTTAATCCAGATTGGTAATCTTGACTCAAATTGCTCATCATTTAGGATAATTTTACAGCCACTTGTAAGCATAAAATGGGCCCTGGGAAAAGCCCAAGAAAGACACAATGATAAATACAATTTTATTTTTGCTCTCAAAGATTTTATAAACATTTATATTTTCAGACTGCTAGCTAATTTACATTAACAAACAATAACTCTCTTGACTGGAAATGTTACTCAGGTTACCCGTTTCTCATGCTTTTTCAGAAACAGAAAACAGCAAAAGTACATGACTAGATGTTATTTATACAAATGACGAGAGAGTCTTTTAAATCAAAACTGATTTAGGATAAATTGAAGACAGGATTGATGAAAAATACTTATTGCTATCAATTCAACACAGTTGTTAATCTTTCTTAAACGTATCTTCCTCTATTTCAGCCTACCTGCATGGAAAGCCATGCCACAATTAATGTCATTAAGTGAAATAAAGATTCTAAGGAGAGAGCATTTCCTCAGGGATTCTTTATAAATAATTTTGCTTAGTCTTAAAAGAGATACAATTTACTTTTTAATTTTTATTCAATATTTGGAATTACATTTACATGCATTTTAACTATTTATATAGTAATTAGTATTCCAATTATTTGTTGGAGTCAATTAAAAAACATGTTTTTTTCTGAACATTTGCCCACTTTCCTTACTCAACATTTTTCATTTCTCTCGAATATAACTATCTAACCTACAGAGAGACTAAGCAGCATAAAACCAACATTCTCTCTTGGGCTGATATCCACCTGTGTGCTCCTTTCATTTTTAGCAATTATTAAAGACAGTAACTCAAACAGGGTAAATAACAAGAAATCAGATTTCTTTTCCTTACCTGAGAATCTCCAGTAAGACGTAAGAGCAACTCTAGGTTTAGTAGAAAGAAAAGAATTATGGATTTTTTTGGGCAAAATTTTTTATATATATATATATATATATATATATATATATATATATATATATATCACCTATTTCTTTGTTAGTCAGAAGCCAAGAGTTGAGCACCAGTTCTCGGCAAGGGTTAGACATTCCATATATTATCTTATTTCATAATCTTTTCCACCCTGGACATGCATGCACATACACATGTAGAGGCAAGCGGGCAGGCACTCGCGCGCACACACACACACACACACACTTATGAAAGCAGGAAAGAAAGCCATAGCATGAACCTATATTTGCACTATCACAAAACTCTTTAGACAAGTGGAGTTCCACTTTCATCTTGATATAATCATCTAGAACAAATATAAAAGTTGCCACAGTCCCTTTTCTTTAAAAAATGTTTACAACTTGTCTCTTTCATATTAAAAATGAAATAGAAAAATGTTTAAAATCCAGAATGTTTCCATTGTCATTTTGGTTACCTTAAAAAAATCATCTTTGTATATGTACTAGTCAGCTTTCCAATACTATAACAAATACTGAGATTATCAACTTTAAAGAAAAAAGGCTCATTTGGGGTCACAGATTGGGCTATTCCAGTCCATGACTGGTTAGCCCTATTGCTTTTGGGCATCTTGGGATGCAGGCAGCACATCACCGTGGGAAAACATGGTAGAGCAAACCTGCTTATCTCATGGCCACTATATGAAAGAAGAAGAGAAAATGGTCAGGAACCTACTACCCTCTTCAAGGACAAGCTCCAAATGGCCTGAAGACCTCCCACTAGGCCCCTCCTCTTGAACATTCCATCATTCCCCAATAGTGCCATGCCGGAGACCACGTCTTCACCACAAAGACCTTTGGGAGAAACTTAGGCTCCAAACTTTAGCAGAGCGATATCCTGCAAAAATTAATGGTCAGTGCAGTCAGACTTCCTAAAATAGTCCAGTTCTCTTGCTTGAGGACACTAGCACGTTCTGAAAATCATTAGAGGCAATATTTCACATGTAGATGAATGTATAATAAATGTTAATCTCAAATAATATGATAGCCAAAAAATGTATAAAATATAATTTCCTTCCAAAATCATATAACATCATTTTAAAATATGGTTTCTAATAACTGCCATGTTAAAAATGTTTCAAAAGAAGAAAATAGTATATAAAACCATCATACTTAGAACAAATAAAGCATACTGTTCACTTTCACATTATATAAGGATTTGCCTGAGGTTTAGCTATTTGGGTAAAGTGTGATTTAGTTACCAAGAAATAATTTGCACAAAATTGTAAAGAATCTATTGTTAGGTATGTACTCTTTAAGCTACAGTTCAATGCAAAATTGGAATCCTTGTCAGTGAATAGGAATAGTTTGTAAATTACTTCTCCTACTTTTCATCTCTGAATAATCTGTCCTTTAATATAGAACTGCTGATCCCCAAAGGAAATTCATCCACGCTTAATATTTAACCTCTTTACAAAAGTGCTTGTGCCGTGATGCTTTAGGCACTTTTATTTGAAACACAAGATCAGAGTGGGGATTATTATGCTTTTCTGCAATAATATAGTTCAAGTTTAAAGAAAAGTAAGCAGATGGATGGAAGTGTGTTGGCTAATTTGGAGTCCCAACCCAACATGCCTGGGATATACCATTTCAGTGTAACACCTAACTTTCCCTACTCTTTCTAACTTCTACATTCATTTATTGAGTTTTCCAGATGAGACAGCTATTTGACACAGGTTAAATTATTTTTAGAGAACTTGGAAATCATTCCAAGAGTTAGTGGCAAGAATGGCATTTCCTTTGTTAGAAATAGCAAAGAGGGTCTGGCCTCTCCTGGGCCTCTTTCACCTTGGTTTCTCCAAGACCTGGTAATACAGATGCAGCAAGAATTTAAAAGAGCATTTTGATGAAGTGAACAAATAATAGCAACTGTCTACACTCTAGGAGTTATGTATGCAATTCAGTTGAAATAACTTTTCATGATTCTGTAATAGAAAAAAAACCAAAGTAGCTGAGCTTTTAAAATAGGTTTCAAAGCGATTCCAAAGTTTTGTCCTTTTTTAGCTAATCATGTGGAAACTATGTTCCAACTTTTCCTGTTTACATTTTAGTGTTTCTAAATCGAAAACTCCAATACCAATCACTGAAATCTGGGTTATATATTTAAAAACAGTTGGATACCTCTTCATTTTCTTCCAAATATTGGTACTTTTTTTTTCATCTCTAAATCTTATATCAGGATTACATGAAACATTTAATCACTTCTCATTTTAATGTTTGTATGCAAATAGCTCAAATTTTGAGGACTATTAATTAATTTAAATAATATTAATATTTTAAAGTATTTTTCTTCCATGGAATATCTTAAAATATATAGGAAATTATACATTAATGCTTCTAAAAGGATACAAAAACATTTATGAAATGTAATTTTATTGCTCAGATTTCATGAGGAAAGTTCAACAATAGTCCAACAGACAAAAAGATTCTTGTGAAGAACTGGATACGAAGTGCTTAAGTGTTGACAATATTGGTCTCTTGAAATGTAGTCATTGGCTTATGAATAAAATTCCATATGTGAGATTTGGATGAATTTGAGAAAGTATTTGGTGAATGATGGAACCTGTGACTGATTAGATATCTAAATGATTAATTGGTGATAATTCAAATCATTTATTAACTGAAAATAATTTACTTAATGTCACTTTTTAAGCATTACCAAAAACACAGGATTTTTATTTATTTATTTATTTTTTGCATTTCTAAGTTGTTTGGGGCTTCTCTAAAATAATAATATTTTTGGTAATGCTTAAAAAGTGACATCAAGTAAATTATTTTCAGTTAATAAATAATTTGAATTATCACCAATTAATGACTAAATCATTTAAAAATCTTTATTAGGTACATATTACAATTAATGACTAAATCATTTAAAAATCTTTATTAGGTACATATTACACTAGGTACTGTTTTAGCCAGGAAAAAAAATAGTATTGAACAGGATGGATACATTTCCTGTCCTCATAAAGTTACAATCAGGAGACTACCTTAGCCAACATGAACAAAGGTTTTAGATATTCTTGGCTATGCAATCAATTTTACCATTCTCCATCCTTTTAGAACTCATTAATCCTTGCCTAGGAATATGTCTCAAATTTGTTAATTCCCCTATATTAATGCACCCTATGATAAATCAAATGTTTTCTACCTAAACTTAGAGCAAGTTTTACTCTCAATGCTACTAGAGGAAGTGAAGTAACTTTTTTTTAAAAAAATCATGAATTACATTTCAAATTTACAGAAGGGCATGCAGGAGGGAATTTCACTTTCAAAGCTGTTGTAGCCCTAAT